ATGAATAATATATGTGTTATATGCAATGTATGGACTTGGGGTGTTACAAATAAGGTGTGGTGTTGTCCGGATTTGTAATCCGGACAAAGGTGTTGGAAATAATTCTAAGTGTTAAATCGGACAAAACTTTGGGCGATATCTTGTCCAGATTTGGTAAACTGGCCAAGACTTGACCGGAGATGAAGTCCGGCCAAGTCTATATTGACCGGATTTGCATTATGACTTGTGCATGATTGATAAAAATTGTTATTTTATTATAAAATGAGAATTTTTGATAAAGATGAATTTTGAACTGATAATAATTCCATTGACTGCGGTCTATTCTATATGGAATTGTTTTTGTGAAATGTTTTGATGAAGAAATAAGGGTGGCATATCAAGGAGAGGTGTACCATGGGATAAGGGTGGCATATCAAGGAGAGGTGTACCATGGGATAAGGGTGGCATATCAAGGAGAGGTGTACATTTGGATATAAGGGTGGCATATCAAGGAGAGGTGTACATTTGGATATAAGGGTGGCATTTGTATATGTGTGTTGTATAATATAACTTCTACTATCATATCCCTTAAGATTACCATGGTCTGGAATCTTTATTTCTCTGTGACTTAAAGATTTAGGATCAGGGTTCTTATTGGAAATCATAGTCTGAATGTTATAGAGAATGAGGTAACAGGTTTGGCCTGAAACTTTAAATAAATCTTGTTTGAATGGAAAAGGTTTAAAAGTAACATTGTAATAATTTGGTTAATATAACCTGTTGGGATGTGATGTATTGTTTGTGAGCAAAGATTATTGGCTTGAAAAGTGAAATGTATTGACATTATGTTTTTACTTATTCATATATTTGTAATATATATGAAAAGTTGTTTTACTTAAAGGTTTTGGTATTTTCACCCTGTAATAACATAAATAGGGTAACTCACTAGACCTTTCGGTCTAACCCTCGTTTTGTGATTTTAAATATGTATTGCAGGAAGTGCTGACGGTAAGAGGAAGGGAAATATGTAATAATTTCCCTATATGTTTATCTACATGAAGATTTGTTGATGACATGTATAGTTTTGATAAATGAAACTGGATTAGTGCAAGAATTGTATTTTGAATTTTTGGATCATGTATTTTGTACTGTTAGATTCTTGTACTAAGGGACCTTTGTGGTGTACAAACATGTATTTCTTGTATATGAAGTATATGTTACATGCAATGTGTGGAATGGGGCATTACATTTCCTGACTATCTTTCTTGGGATTTTTCTCTCTTTTTTAATCCACTATAGAATTAACAAATTCTTGATCAATTTTATGTATTAGATGATGGACACATATATCGGCCCAACGGGTATACATGATCAATGTTGTGATCACCATTCATTGGAGCTAACAATGAGCTCTAGAGATCCTCCTCAGAACTACAACATCAGCAGCTTAGATACTTGCCTTAAACTTGGGTAAGAAAACCAAGCTTCTATTAACACTTACGTTTTACTACAAATTTTGGAAAAGAAAATCCATGATATATAGAGCCATCTTTCTCCTTGTTCTGAATCTAAAAATTAAAAATTTTGAACCCCATTTCAGGCCACCTTTCTCTAACTGGATCAAAGAGGTGAAATTAGATGATATTCAAGTATGTCTAATGGCAAAGATCGATCATGTAACACAAATTATCAGTTGTCTGATGTTTGTTCTTAAATAAACCTTCATATATTCAAGTCTGGAATTCATGTTGTGGATTTTGTTGAAGAACCAACACATTCTTGTATTTAACGGGCTAATATTGTTCTCTGCTTCTAGAGCCAAGTATGAAGTATTGTACATCTATAATAACGGGTTTAATGGGGGAGCTGTTTGTTTCTTGCACTTTCTCTCAACAGGGACATGACTTGCTTTTGGGATCAGAAAAAGTAGGAACATGAACTGAAAATGTTGATTTCGCTTGATGGATTATTTTTATAATCATCACTTCTGGTGCATCAATTGGTTTCTTTTTTTCTGAGTTCATGGATTATTTTGGAGTTGGGCTATTGAATTTACATGTTATGGATGACATTAGGCTTCTTATTGAGGGATGAATCTAATTGGTTCTAACATTTTTATTGTGTATCAGTGTATGTAGGTTGTTGCTATATGTGAGGCTTGTAATTGTTAAAAAAATGCATGACAGCAGTGATTTGTTAATTTTTCATTTACACTAAAAACATTTATTAATGTTGAGAATAGTTAAAACTCAGCTTCTTGTCATAATCTTTACTTGGTAATTTGAATTCATATGATGTAGGTAAAAAAAATATTCGACAAAGGCCCACAATGCATGTTGTGTTGGATCTTCTCTTGGTGACCTCAAAAGCATAACCGCAGTTAGATTTGGTGAACTGCAAGTACTATATGGAAGTGGTTGGCTATCGTTTATCCGATCCAACACTATTAAAGTCTTTTGTTGCCCTTACCATCAATGTTAATCCCATGTGTATAACAGTTTGGTTGTTTTGTAATGAAAATCGAGGAATACACCCGTCTGACTGCATAAATAAAAGCCCAAATCAAGACGGTAAGTTCACTTCAAAGTGAACTTTGTGAGGTCACTAGATATTTGAACATGATGTTTTTGGTGTTACTCATAGGTTTCGCAAAGGACAGGAGAGTTGCTACAACTGCCACCGGAGTAATTCGGCCAAGTTATCGAGTCAAAAACAAGAACCCAAACTTTGAAATATGTTTAGATCAGATTTGCCTTATTTGGTTTGTTGTTGAAATATATTGAATCATTATTTAAGTGAAATATATGAACTATTCGAGTTATCGATCATAAACGATGGTCTTAACTGATTTTCTTACCGTGGATCCGTGTCTTATAGATTTTTGAATTTTGTTTATCGTTTTTAGAACATTCTCAAATACGTCTCGGTGCTTTTGATTTTGAATTGATTTCGAATGATTTTTTTTATGTTTTTGGTTGATTTTGAAGAATTCTTAGATTTTTTGGTTGATTTCTATGGACTTTTTCCGGGTTTCTTTAATTTATTTTGAGTGACTTTTTTCATTTTTTTCATTTATGTTACTTGTATTTTTTTAATTTCTTTAATTTAGTTTGAGTGACTTTTTTCATTTTTTTCATTTATGTTACTTGTATTTTTTTTAATATCCTGAAATACCCTTTCATACCCCAAAAAGAGTTTTACTTGCGAAAATTGGTTGAGTGGGTGCACGGGACCTCCCTCGACCTTGATAGGTTTGTGCCTGCTATAGACCATATCTTGAAGTTTTTTTTATCATACGAATGACACCAAACCATTGTTTTTGTCATCTCTCGTGCCTTATAACACTATTTGACATTTCTTTCATTGCATTACTATCAACGCTAGATCATTGCTTCCCCATCGACCACTATATCTACATCCATTGGTTCTTTGCCATATTGTAACATCTCCTTCACAAACTCACGTGTGGCATTACTTTGAAATTTACACTCTGCTGCATTGCACGGATATACAACTAGTACTTATATAATAGTCGAAATGTAAAGATGTAATCATAGATCTTAAGTATTTAACATTAGAATAAAAAAAATATCATAAAAGGACATGTTTAAAAATACAATCTTTTTACTGTTGATCACACTTATTCAATCTATGATGACACTGATCTTAATCAAACCTTAATAGAATAAGTTTTTTGTCACCGTAGACACTAAACACAAGAAGGTCAGCAGCGATTGTATGGTAAGAGGTGTTCAATGTCCATGTGTAAAAAAGATTAAATCGGTTTGTATCTTTATCTATTATTTGGAGTTCATCATTGTTCAAGCCGCATGTCTTTAGCAAGTCAAAGAGAAGCTAGAAAGACAGTGAAGTATAATTCAATGTAAAAATAACCGAATGAAGATCGGCGAGTGAAATCCACCAAGCTGAGAAGGCTGACAAATGCTTCTCAAACCGAAACGGTTTATGAAGACTTATCGATTAAGTTTTCACTCACCTACTTTCAACCACTATTATGTTTTCGTCATTGGTCTGTTGGTTAGTTCCTTATATTTCGTATGTGGGGTCTTGCGTTCAAGTTTTTTGTAGCATTTTTTCCAGAAACATAATAAACCTGAAATTAACAGCTAAAACTAAAAAAATGATTAAAATGGGATTCAAACTTGCTGTTGGGTGGAAGAAAAGCCGTCCAAACCAACTCTGCCAAGACAAACTTGTGTTATTATTTATAGTTTCAAAATATATACGGTGACACATTTCATGATCCTAAATTTTGTTATCTAAGATGGAGAAACGAAGCTATAACACGTGTCACCGTATCGTATACACCGGGTTCGCCACTGCATTCTAGTAGATTGTTTACATCAATTTTTTTATCCTTATTCCAAAACAATTATGTGATTCTTTCATTTTATATTCAACCCCTTTTCTACACAAATACTTGTTAACTCAATTATCACATCCGGGACCGACATTGACATATGACTATAAAAACATAACAAAAAAACCCCCTTAAGACGAATTATCTCACTAATGACCAGTTATTTAATGACAAGTTATTTAAGGACAAGTTAAAGTTAACTGATTATAACTGGATTCTTATAATAAAAAAAGTATCGCGGGGGACACTCGCCCATTAGTCAAACATACAAGTTAAAAGTGGGCCTTGAAGATCGGTAAAAAAGGATAGGTAAAAAAAACATGATGCAAGTACGGTAATTAATAATCACTTGGGTTGTGGTGCACTAAGTAAGGGTCAATTGGATATAATGGGAATCTCATCTTCCTTGACTTCGAATCCAAGTGTTGTCAAAGCCCTTGTGGCAATGGAGATATACTTGCGAAGACTCTAGGCCAGTTATGGTGACCCAGGGATTATTCATTGCACGTAAACTGGTCTGGGGACTCACGGTCATAAAAAAAAACATGGTAAATAATAGCAAAATGTGTGCAAACAAATAGCATTGACAATGCAATTAACAAATTACTAAAGCATGAAGCAAATTACTAAAGCATGAAGAACCAGTAAAACTAATGCTGGCATACAATAAAGAAAAGAAATACAGTAAAGCACTGCTCAAAATTGCAACAAGCACAGCTGAAAGCTACAAAAATTATCCTATCAAAATAAAATGTCATTTTTGCTACCTTAAAGCTTGCATAAGTTGGTCACAATGTAAAACTGCACCAGGTAAATTTATAACATCTGTCGGCAGAACCAAAAATTTGGTGTGAGCACCGACGATCTTCAATAAACAATGCAGATATTTGGCATAAATTACACCTTCGACAGTCTACAGAGCCAAGTCTAATTCAGCTCGTTTCAGTGTGGATGTTACCCTCGTGAAAAATTCTGGTTCGTGTTCCTTTAGATCTTCAAGTGTAGTCGACTCATGCTCATCGGCCTATTTTAGGTTCAGCAAAAAGAGATCATTGATGGTTGCAAGTACTTGAAAGGAGCAGATATTTCGTTCAGTTTTTACGCATTTAAGAGGCAAAATGAGATTAATTCCCTCAGAGATATCAAATTACTCTTCAAAATAGCCCTCGAAGAAAGAAGGTTCCAACATAACAAAGGTACTCCCTCTGTCCCAAAATAAGTGTCAATATTTCTAGTTTAGTTTGTCCCAAACTAAGTGTCTACTCTCAAAAGTAAGCACCTACTTTCCGATTTTACCCTTACTTATGAGATGGAAAAATTAATTGCCCCACTATTATTGTGAGTAATATTGTCATTTAGTTGATTACAAAGTATAATAATTACACATTCTTAAGATTATGTGCCTTTTTCATCGTGGAAACTTATTTTGGGACAACGGTGGTAGTTATAGAACCCTATTCATGGGATTTCTCACTAATAAAACAAGCTTATTTTGTTCGAGAAGGTAAAGTATGTATAACGACAGATGGTGGTTTCCATCTATTTGGTAAAGATGGGTGTTCAGCCCAGCTTGCGTGCACCTTGAATAATCCCACGGGGCCTGAAGTTTAACAACCAGGCAAACCTTCCAATGTCCCTGGACTTGAAATGGTGACCCAATGCATTACGGATAAAAATTGACTAATGTTTACTCCTTTATGACCCACACAGGTCACAAATTCAATCCATGGAAACAGTCTGTTTGCAAATGCAGGGGAAAAGATTCCTACTAAAAGAATTCCCTCCCCAACTCTACCAAAACTGATGAACCTTGGTTCACCAGTGATTGGACTATGAAATAATTTATAGTGGAATGCATATTAGTACAATCATTACTGTAGCATATACAAGTATACATTCACATGAAATATAGTAATAGTGATAAATACCTCTGTAAATTTTAGAAGGATAAGATTTGATGCGGATGCGGGTTTTGATTTGTCCCATCTGCAACGGAGAAAAATGCACATTAATACAGGCAAAAAAAAGTAACGACAAAAGAATCTTCAAGGTTGACGATTCTATATTTTCACTAGGCAGGCTAGCAACTTCTACTTCACTGCTCATCAGCACCACTAATTCTTTTTCTTATAGTTTACGAGTAGTGGATGGTAAAAGTGTTTTCAATGCAAATAACTAGGTCGTTTAAATCCCCAATGAGAAAAAGATGATATGTATACGAGTGATCAGTAATCATCTATTTCCTTTTCAGGTCCGTCAATTGAATGACCACCTCACAATTTTCTTTTTAAATCCATGACCTTCTGACAAATTTTTGAACGCCACTAAACCTGTGAGAAGGTTATGTTGATAATAGAATTCTCATTTTCCGTTATTGAGCAAAATAATCCTTCCTTTCGGGGGATGAAACTAACTGTAATACTTGTCCTAGGAAAAACCCAAATCTAATCAAACAAACCGAATATATCCCACAAAAGGTAGGTCGCCAAGCAGGGGGTGGGAAAGAGGGGGGGGGGGGGGTTACGCAGCCCTTGTCTCTACCCCAAAGGGTAGAGAGACTATTTCTGTTACTGAAAAAACCATCTTCAAAAAGTAGTTCCAAGTAAGTCAATGGATAAGTAACTGGTAGAACTGATAATGTGCTATTAAGATAAGAAGTCCATGCATCTAAGCTTAAAATGGGTAATAAACAGGTTCCAGTTCCACCTGAATGATACCGTCTTTGGGTCTATTTATGCTTGGATTCGATTTACGATGCAATCAAATGGAGTTACAAAATATGTATTTTAGATATTTCTAAAGGATTAAAGGATGTAGAGGGACCAAATATGTTGGTCTCTCCATCCTATGAAAAGGTTGTGAGAATATGTGGAACCCCTAGATCTTTCTCCAAAAGAGCCCTTGAGGAGATGGGGGAGGTTCCAACATATATACAGGAGAAATGGTCCAAGTTTAGCTGATGTAGAACAACAAAGTTAACATAGTTTTCAGGTAAGTGTTTTGACTATTTGTCAAATGTCCACAATGACAAACTGATGGGATCCTACAACCCAAATCAATATCATCAGTTTTTGAAAATGGAGAAATATGTCATTGTAATTTGAAAGCTTCCCAGAAACCAAAAGGTTGCAATTTTGACAGGCATCCAAGATGGAAAAATTTACAATATCCATGTTGCAGTTAGTTATATCCTCTTGGCCAAGATAATTGATTCCTCTGGTGGATGATCTTTTGTTTATTTTAAATGCCAAGCTTAGGAGACCGAGTTTTTTAGTATATAAATAAACAGTAATGAAATCTCCAATGCTCAATAGGCCATCAATACACATGCTTTGAACCCTTTGGTGTGATAGATTAAGTTACCTTAGAAGGAAGTCTAATAAATCCTAGAATTTCTAAGTACGACTGTATGAGTGCCAAAAGTCCTACCAAATTTCAGTTGTTTTTCACAAAATAGAATATAGGTTTGTAAAGACGAAAGAAAATTTTAAGGGAATGGCTGCATAAAAATGACAAACCTACCCGTACCTCACAAAGTCGAAGAGCCTTGTTCACAAGACCAAAGACGGTGAAATCAATTTTGGTCGACTCTTTACAGAAGGCATAAAAATTGAGAAGAGTCATACATACCCCCAAACTATAGAGAAATTACTTTGTGAAAAAATACGGTGGAAGGTAGTTATAAACCTGCAAATATATTCCTTTTGGATCCCTTATCAAGAAAAAATCACTTCAGTTTATTCTAAAATTCTTTTTTGTAGTATAGTGTGAAACTAATAATTCATGTCCATAATTCAAACACCATAATCTTTTTTTTTTCCGTTTTCCATGTTGTCAAGACTGAAAATGTATAGGCTTAACTTTTAGAAACCATAAGATATTCATACCTCACGAGCATCAGCTCGTTGACAGAACGCCACATTCCACGCCCTACTTTTGTTGTTTGATCTCTAGCGCTTCTTCCACGCCACAACTCTTTAGCAACATACATGACTTCTTCAACATCTACCTTAAAGATTGAAAAAACCCAACCACATAAAATGGATAACTAAATATTCAGTTGTGATACATCTAAATATGAAGATTAAATCAAATAAATACTCTAGTAGCTCTCTAATAAGGTGCATGATTTCCATTGTGTTATTCGCAGTCAAATGGCCTTCCTAAGAGAATAAACTAGTCCAAGTCTTAACACCAGTAGAATGCTAAGTTCAGTTCCCCTTATCTTCAGACTAAACATACAAATAGTCACCAGATTTGTGAGGGCCACAGAAGAGTGAATCCCAAGGACCTGATGGGAGCTCATCTAGACACAAGCAACATATGGGATCCAGCTCAAACGCATATCGAACAGGTCCCACATGTTTTTTGTAACTATCTCTTCCCACCATTCTTTAAGGCCACCAACTCCAATGAACCCAAAACTGCTATCTCCAAATTGACTATTCATGTTCAATATAGAATCATAGCAATAGTAAGCAAAATAGATAAAAACATCAATATAGAATCATAGTAATAGTAAGCAAAATAGATAAAAACATCATTGTACTTCCACACTTTCTTACTTACATGGTCAAACAAAAAGATTCATCACACTCTCGTAATCATATAAATTACATCATTTTCATCCAATTAAAATCAGATTGTTCAACATATACTGTTAATATAAGTTAAGATGGTCAATAAAGTGTTTTGTTCAAGTATGAAATTAGAAAATGCAAAAGTACAGCTGAATATTAAGCCATAAAAAGAAAAAATGGCATAAACAGAGCTTCTGAAAATGAAACAAGCATTCAAAAGGTTGAGGTTATTACTTGGAAACATTTTATATTTATTTTCATGTAAGATCAGGATAAGAAACGATCAAGATTGTTCAGTGATCAAATGTATAGTAAACTAGGATACTTACTGGAAATGGAGTACAACTACTAGAATAACCACAGATTGATGCTGTATGAACACTAGTTACGGCCTAAATTTTTCTTTTCAATAACTAAAGAAAACTAACAGTGCCCTATTTCAGAGAAAGAGTAACATACAGGATGAGCAAATGGATAAAGAAATCACAGTTTTTTAATTGGTGATAGGTGAATGATCATCTAAATGCTTTAAGGATTTGCAGTGAATAGTGCGTTCTTCAAGAAGCAGATATCGGATTTCCTGTCCTAAATTTCTGAGCTTCTTAATGGTAAAGACTAGAGATCGAAAACCTGCTTCTGACTACCAGTCAAGACCAGCTGGCCTATAAATCCAGCGAAGCCAAGATCCATGCTAATACGTTGGAAAATTGGACCAACGAACAAGTAGTATGAATATTTATATATATGTGATCATAAACACCAAGAAAATTGCTGCTAGGATGATGAATGATGAGACCAGACTAATTTAGGAGAAGGGAAGTTAAAGGAACATAAAAAAAACAGGCATCACAATATAATGTAATAAGCATCACACAAGAAATCTGGTCATTTGGTTCACTATACACTAAATACATATAATTTCTTAGAACATTTCTGATAAGCCTACTGTACGTTTTACATATAAGAGAAGATTTAAGTAGTTTAGTTGTAAGTAAGTGGAGGGTAGTTTGGGTATTTTTCTGAATAGAATAATTGAGACAGCTCCTTTATATTGGGGAGTTTGTTGGTGGAAGTTGCATTCTGTTTTGTAAGTTTGAAAAGGAGCGCAAGCTCTCTAGGAGAGAACTGGCCTCTCGAAAGCAGTGTAACCTCTGTAATCTTTCTTTTCTTTACTCAAGTCAATAAGGAAACTACCGACAACAATCAATTTGCATCAAATTGGTACCAGAGCGAGTTCGATTCAGCTATGGGAACGAGAAGTGCGACAGCCAGAATAGACGATTTGGAGAGTTGTGTTGGTTCGATTGAGAAGAATCAACAAATAATGGAGAAGAATTTCGAAAAGATTTTTCAGCAACTGGAGAAATTAAGCAACGAAGTATCAGCTAGGGTTATTACGTCAGGGTCATCGGACGGCGAGGATGGGGAAGAAACGGCGAGATCGAAGAGGAAGAACAAGGAGAGGCAGGGATCGTGTTGATCCTCTCTCTCAGTGATTTGATGATAATCCCTTTTTTCTTTCGATGTATTTTTGTGTTTCTGTACTTTCGGTTCCAGCGATCAATACACTGAGCTTGTTCAGTGATCGCTGAAGAACTCGTTTTGCAATTCATTCAGAGACAACGATACTTCAAGAAAACAACACTCACACCAAAGATCCTTCAGCAAACGTCGAAGACTGAAACTGAAGATTAGAGACTG